GTGTATCCCCGACTGTCCTAGAACTCACTGTGTAGACCAGGATGCCCTCTAACTCAGAGGTTCTCCTGCCTTTTTCTCCGGAGTTCTGGGATTAAAGGTATGCAACACCATGCCTAGCATGTTTAGGTGTCTTCATTATGGCCATATATATAATTCTGCTACCTTCTAAGTCACATTGTTCAAGGATGTAACTTACAGAAAGGTTTAAAGATCAAGACAAGTTTAAAAATTAAATAACTACTAGAGCTGGCTTACTTATGTTTCTTATCTTGAGAAATTTCCAGTTGAGCGTGGTGTTCTTTAACCCCAGAATTCAGGAGGTAGAGATAGGAGGATCAGAGTCTGAGGACTCTGTGTGGCATCTTGCCTTGCCAGTGAACTTGTGGGGCAGCATCTTCTGGAGCATCTTTTGGTTTTACAAGACAGGGTTTCTCTGTGGCTTTGGAGGCTGTCCTGGAACTCTCTTTGTAGACCAGGCTGGCCTGGAACTCACAGAGATCCGCCTGTGCCTCTACCTCCCGAGTGCTGGGATTAAAGGCATGTGCCACCAGTGCCTGGTGGTTATTTACTCTTATCTGTGTAAGTGCTTCCCTATTAAATACTTAATTATCATTTATCTTGGGTGTGGTGGACTCATTTAAACCCTGCCTCCAAGACTCTGCTATACAGTGAATTTGTGATCATCCTATGCTACAGGAGACTTTGTGTCAAGACATAAAACACTTCCAACAAGATCTTTTTGGCAAATGAAATTGTAAAATGTTTTTTTTTAAGTGCATTGTTAAGGTTTAAAACGGACAGAAAATGCTAATGTAGTTTCAACTCCAGGCCACAATCATGCTGGTCTACAGTAATTACACTCTACTGTTTTAAACATCCTCATAGGAGTCAGACATTCTGGTGTTCCTCTTCTTCATCTCAGCACTCAGGAGGCGGAGGTAGGCACTTCTCTGAGAGTTCAAGGCCAGTCTGGTCTACATAGTGAGTTCTATGTAACATGAGAACATGTCTCAGAAAACCAGGAACCTCTCATCTGAGATGTCTTCAAAAAAAAAAAAAACAAGCATTACCTTTGAAGGCAATTTAGATTTTATCAGTTGCATTGGAACTTCTTGACTCAGTCCCCGGGAAACACAAACTAGACCCCAAAGTGCTTGGTTCTTTCTCCTTCCCACGTCCCCTTACTTTTTTAAAATCTTCTTATCTTGTCTCAAAATTAGATTTGTTTAAAGATTAAGTAATTAATTTGAGTTTAATGCATTTGTCACTCACAAAACAGTATTAATTAGAAAATATATTTCGGAAACAGTGGCTAACTTAGTAACTTCGAATGTTTTAATGCCCAGGTTGCAGTCAAAAATTAAAAGAAAACAGGGCTTCTGAGAAAAATGGCTAATTCCAGGTTTGAGGCAGGCACTGCCAAAAATGAGTCCTTAGTCCTTAGGGAATTTGAATAACTTCTCATTGACCAAATAAAGGATAATTTGAATCTCTCTATATATAACAAATCCAGCAACTTGACTCCAGTAGCGATGTGTAATTCCACAAATTCATGAATGAATATTTGAGATATGGAGGGTCTGGGCTGTAAAATTAGGAGGTTGAGATTATTGAAATGTTACAGTGTGGTAGTTTGAATGCAATGGTCCCCATAATCTCATAGGGAATTGAATTATTAGGAGTTGTGGCTTTGCTGGAGTGGAGGCAGTGTATCACTGTGGAGGTGGGCGTGAGGTTTCCTATGCTCAGGACACCACTCAGTGTCTCAGTCGACTTCCTGTTGCCTGCCAGATGTAGTATTCCCAGGTACTTCTCCAACACCATGTCTGTCTGCACACTGCCATGCTCAGCTCTATGATGATAATGGACTGAACCGCTACACTGTAAGCTGCCACCTCAGTTAAATGTCTTCCTTTATAATAGTTGTGGTGGTCTTTTTTTTTTTTTTTTTTTTTTTGGTTTTTCGAGACAGGGTTTCTCTGTGGCTTTGGAGGCTGTCCTGGAACTCGCTTGGTAGTCCAGGCTGGTCTCGAACTCACAGAGATCCGCCTGCCTCTGCCTCCCGAGTGCTGGGATTAAAGGCGTGAGCCACCACCGCCCGGCTTAGTTGTGGTGGTCTTAATGTCTCTTCACATTAATAAAAATGTTAAGTCGGAAGTTGGTACCAGAAGTGAGATATTTCTGTAAAAGGCCGGACCATGTTTTTGCTTGGAGGAATTTGGACTTCGGGAGCTTGAGTTAGAACATCAGTGGGATGCTTTTAGAGCTGCTTAATGGGCCATATCAATAGGGGCATGGAAGACTATGGTGGCAAGAATTATCTGAACTGTGGGGGGCTCATTCAGGAGGTTTCAGAAGGGGCTGGAGAGATGGCTCAGAGGTTAAGAGCACTGGCTGCTTTTCCAGAGGTCCTCAGTTCAATTCCCAGCAATCACACGGTGGCCCACAATAGGATCTGATGCTCTCTTCTGGCATACAGGTATACATGCAGAACACTTACACACAAAATATAAATAAAAAAAAGTTTCAGAAAAGAAGACTTTTAGTGCATTTCCCAGGGATTGTTCTTGTGATATTCTGTTGCTGCCTTTTGCTCTTGTCCAAAATGTCTGCCTGAGGTTAAAATGAAGGGTTTTGGATTACTTTCATTGACAGAGGAAATCTTAAAACAATCTAGTATAGACTTTGTCATTTGATTAACAGTTATAGATGGATTTTTCTTTGGACTGCCAAGTCATAAATAACAATGGAGAGACTTATTATGACAGCTTGGCCTTGGCTGAGACTTGTTTTTTAAGAAGCTCTTATAACTTAAATTGACTCATTTCTATTAATCTACATTCAGCCACACAGCTTTTACCTTGATCCCATTCTGTGTGTCTGCCTTATCCACATCTGGCTGGCTTCTCAGAGTCCTCTCTGTGCCTGGAGGTCCCAACTATATCTTCTGCCTAGCTATTTGGCTCTTTATTAAATCAATCAGAAGGTGCCTTGGCAAAGACACAGTGTACAGAAAGATGATTCCACAACAATTAATAACTCTAATGAAGATTTATAATGAAAAGAAGCAAGCTGAGCAGGGTAAATTACGAAATGTAAAATTAGAGGAGAAAAAGAGCACCAGGAAGTAGAATAGAGATAAATCCTGTGTTCAAAGAGATAAATGGATTAAGAAATGGAATGCAGGAAGTGGTGACCTCAGGGCAAGATCCCACTGAGCCAAATTACCCACTTGTAAATAGGAACTAGAGAAATGCTTAGAGCACTTGGAAGGTAGAGGATGGTGGCTCAGTGAGTTTGAGGCCAGCCTGATGTAAAGAACAAGTTCAAGGACAGCCAAGCTTAGGCAGTGAGGGACAGAAAGCTGGTGAAGATGTAATTGAATGAGGGGGCCATGTTCCAGCCACAATAAGCAGGGGAACTTGGCAGTTTTGGGCATGTGATTCTGGCTTTACAGTTAAGAAGAACCAGGTCATGTATGGAATTTGCCCCCAATACTAAGGAAAGCCACTGAGGCCAGGCATGTATCAGTGGTGTCTCCGAATGGAGGCCTTGTAGAGAGGCCATTGCATGAAGCTGTGAAGGTGAAGCCTGGATAGCCTTGGAGACGCCAAGATGTTGGAGATGCCAGAGCCATGGGATATGCCAAGGGAGTAGAACCAGCCCAAGAGAAAGAAGTGTGTTGCAGCCAGCAAAGCTGAAAGGGGTTGGAGATCTGAAGAGCATTTTGACATCAGGCATGGAGATGCAGCGTTTAGAGTTTGCTCAGCCGTTTTCAGTCTTGCTTTTGTCCAGTATTGTTGTGGGATGATCTTTTTGTACACTGTGAAGATGTGCCACTCTGATTTGTTTAGTAAAAAGCTGAACGGTCAACAGCTAGGCAGGATTTGGGGGCAGAGGGGACTCTGGGAAGATGGAGATGTCATGAGACACAGAGCACACAGGATGGGCAATATGGAGATGAGGGAATAAAGTCCCAAGGCAGAAAGTAAATGAATGAAAATGGGTTAATTTAAGTTATAAGAGCTAGTTAGAAACAAGTCTAAGCTACCAGCCAAGCTTTCCTAATTAATAATGTCTCTAATCCCAGCATTTGGAAGGTGGAGGCAGAATTAGGAATTCAAAGTCATCCTCCACTAGGAAGGGAGGCTGTAAGAAGCCCTGTCTCAATTCCCAACCTCCACTACAAAAGAAACATTTGATATTATAAAATTTGCCAAACACTGGGATAAGGTGAACAATAAACAACTTTGCTGGACATGGTGGTTCTTGTCTGTAATTCCCCCACCAGGGAGGAAGGTACAGGAGTACAGCAAGTTCGAAGCCAGCTTGGGCTACATACAGAGTTTCAGGTTAGTTAGAGCTGCATAGTAAAACTCTGTCTTAAAACAATTGTAGCTGGGCAGTGGTGGTGCAAGTCTTTAATCCCAGCACTCGGAAGGCAGAGGCAGGCGGATCTCTGTGAGTTCGAGACCAGCCTGGTCTACAAGAGCTAGTTTCAGGACGGATTCCATAGCCACAGAGAAACCCTGTCTCGAACCCCCACTCCCGCCCCCAAAAATCGTAAAGAGCCGGGTGGTGGTGCACACCTTTAATCGCAGCAGGCACGCGTATGTCTGTCAGTTCGAGGCCAGCCTGGCTTACAGAGTTTGTTCCAAGGTAGCCAGGGCTACCTTGTCTTAAACCCAGTCTTAAAAATCCAACAAAAAACCCCAAAGGAAAAGGTGATTTGTTCAGAGCCGTGTTATTTACAAGGGGCTACAGTGTAAACTTTACCAAACTGTCAGCAATCACATTCTGGGCAACAGGAACCTAAAATAAAATTCTAAGAACCCGGAACCTATAGCCCCACCGTCTCAGCAAAATACCCGTTAGTGGACCCTGGAGCAAGCCTGACCACGCAATGCTTTGTGGGACTTGTAGTTTTCTCAGAGGAAGACGAGGGCGCATTGCATGGCGGGAGATAGAGAAGCCCAGTCCCGGAAGTCCTGAGGCGCCGGCGCACTGTTCCCTTCCGCAAGCGCGGGAGTCTCGGTTTACGGGCAGCGCCGTAGTCACTGGCTTGCTTTCGCGGGCCCGCTTGGCCTTTGGTGGTATGGCTTCCCGCGTGGGGCCAGCAGGCGGCCGCGGCGGAGGGGCTGCCGCCACCCGGGGCTGTCTGTAGGAGGGGTGCAGGGGTCCCCTGGGTCGCTGGAGCCTTCTCTTTCCCCCGTCGCAGCCGCGGTGCCTAACCGAGAGGATGAGCTCGGCCTGGGACACCGATTTCGAGAAGCAGCATCTCTGGATGTACCTGCAGGCGCTGGGCTTGGATGCGAGCGCGGGCGTCACCGTCGGCGGGAAGATGGTGTCTCACGCGCACCTCGGAGAGTAAGGAGACCAGGGCGGCGGCGCGGTCCCGGGTGGCGGGTCCCTGGCGGCGAAACCCCGCGGCTGCTGGCCGGCCTGCGGCGTGGACTGCGCGCCACCATTGTAGGGCGGGGAGCGCCCTGCTGTCGGGGCAGAACCGCGGGACTGGCTCAACCCTGCCTTTGTGCTCTGCAGTTGGTGAGAGGCGCGGGGGAACTGTCGCGCCGTGGCCATATAAGTGGCTAATTGTGGGTTTAACTTCATATCGGAGAACCAAAACTTGTTACAGTGTTAGAGCTAACAACAAACAATATCGTGACATATTGGAACGAAAAAGCAAAAGCCGCTTTTACACCCCTGCCACTTATGTTGTTGTGACACAAAACGAAATACTATGTATTCGTGTACTTTAGACCTGGGCTTCTTAGACTTCTGGTTCCAGACCTTTTTTTTCCCCTCCCGCTTTGGACCTTTTAAAAAAATTATTCCTTTTCATTTTTTATCTGCATTGGTGTTTTGTATGTCTCTGAAGGGGTAAGATTCCCCTGCAACCGGAGTTACAGTTGTAAACTGCCTTGTTGCGCTGGGAATTGAACCAGGGCCCTGGAAGTTCATTAGTGGTGTGTGTGTGTTTAATAAAACTCCTGTGTGTGTGTGTGTGTGTGTGTGTGTGTGTGTGTGTGTGTGTGTTTAATAAAACTCCTGTGTGTGTGTGTGTGTGTGTGTTTAATAAAACTCCAGATGGAGCCGGGTGGAGCACTGGGGAGGCAGAGGAAGGCGGATCTCTGTGAGTTCGAGGCCAGCCTGGTCTACAAGAGCTATCAAAGCCACAGAGAAACCCTGTCTCAAAAAACAAAAAACAAAAAAAACAAAACAAAAAAAGACAACCTCCAGACGGTTACACAGAAACACAGACAACACTTTTTAAAATCAGGCAATCCGAAGGTGATGGTATGTATCTGTAATCCATAATCTCAATGCTTAGGAGACAGAATTGCTGCAGGGTCGAGGCCAAGCCTAGTCTACATAATGAATTCTAGGCCAGCCATGGCTACATAGTGAGACTTTGTCTCAACACTCATGTCTCAACATTAGTCCAAAGACATACTTTTTTTTTTTTTGTTTTTGTTTTTGTTTTTTGAGACAGGGTTTCTCTGTGGCTTTGGAGGCTGTCCTGGAACTAGCTGTTGTAGACCAGGCTGGTCTCGAACTCACAGAGATCCGCCTGACTGCCTCCCGAGTGCTGGGGTTAAAGGCGTGCACCACCAACGCCCAGCTAAGACATACTATTTTTGATACTTCAAGCTCCCTGAGGCATGCCTGTAGGGATTCTATAATGAAACTGTTGTGCCTCAGTAAAAACAGGGAGCTGTCTGGTAACAGCTTGACATGCCATTACAACGTTCAGTAGTGGTCGTGAGTTTACCAGGATGTTTCAGGTAGCTGTTGGGCTTGTGTGGTGACATGGGCAGTCCAGAGCATGCATGTTGTTTGGCACCAAGGCAGTCATGGTATTGCATGATGCAACATGGGCAAGCACCACAGAAACACCTCTGACTTACCACCAGATGCTGTTCAGAAGCTTACTGTTACATTTTTCAGGACCCTCGTTCAGTTATGCTACCCTAATAGGGTGTTGCAACTTGAAGTTTCCAGAAACAGGACTGAAGGCAGTCTCCCTCATGTTTCTCATGAAGGACAAGAAGAATGTGGGATGCATTGGCTATCTTCTGTTGTCCCTCATTGTTTCATCTTGTTTTCTTTTTTTCCATTTTTTGTCGTCCCCCCAGCCCCCCAGACAAAGTCGCACTATGTATATATGTTGCTCCCGCTGTCCTGGAACTCACTATGTAGACCAGGCTAACCTTGAACTCTCAGAGATCCTGCCTTCCAAGTGCTGTGACTAAAGGTGTGAGCTACTAAGCCCCCCCCCCCCCCCCAGTTTTGTTTCTTGAGACAGTGTCTTACTTATTCCACAGCTGGCCTTGTGCTTGGGATGATTTCTTGAAACCCATTCCTCACCAAGAATGGTCTGTGATCTTGACTGCTGAACCATCTCTCCAGCCCAGTTTTGTTTTTGTTTTGTTTTGTTTTGTTTTTTTTTTGGTTCTCTCAAAACAGGGTTCTCTCAAAACAGGGTTCTCTGTGTAGTCCTGGCTGTCTTGTAGACAAGACTGACCTCAAACTTAGAGAGATCCACCTGCTTCTGTCTCCTGGATGCTGGGATTTAGAGGCGTGGGCCACCACGGAATGGCGTTTCTCGATTTTTTAACCCCCCCCACATATACACACGGAGTCGACTCTCAGGTGGGTCCTAGGAATAGAACTCCGGTAGTAAAGGTTTGGTGGCAAGCACCTTTACCTACTAAGCTAAGCCATCTCAAACAGACTTCTAAACAAAGTACTACATATGCTAATAGTAGTAACTTCTAAGCAGTTACCAAACCAAACTTAATTACAACTTTGAGGGCTAATATTGCATCACATTTATTTAAAGAAGTTAACAAATTTTATTCACATCGGTGGCAAACTTTGTAATTCTGTGTTTGTAGTTTGTGGACATATATTTGTAAAGCCACTGTTGTTATAAATTTGAACACACTAAGCTGACCCAACTATTCCAGGCCAAGGTATTTGTTTCAAAGACTGCATTTAGAAAGTCTCGTTAGTTTTGCTAGGGAGTGGAATAGAGGGGAAGCTGAGTTGCATGGTTATCTACATCTGAATAAACTGACAGTTGGAATGAAAGGTGAGGTGGAGGTGTTCATTCAGCAGGTACTTGTTGAATGCAGTGTCCCACCTGAGTATTTTTGGGAAGGGACAACTTTTTTTTTAAGCATCTGTAAAGTTTTGTATATATAACAATGACAATCAAATTATTAAAATATTCTTAAGAAAACGGTATATAGGCCGGGCGGTGGTGCCGCACACCTTTAATCCCAGCACTAGGGAGGCAGAGGCAGGTGGATCTCTGTGAGTTCGAGGCCAGCCTGGTCTACAGAGCTAGTTCCAGGACAGCCTCTAAAGCCACAGAGAAACCCTGTCTCGAAAAACCAAAAAAAAAAAAACCAAAACAAAACAAAAAAAAAACAAACAAAAACCAAGAAATAAAAAAAAAAAGGCACAAATACCAAGTTCTTAAAAATGTTAGCTGTTACTGCTTAGTAAATGTCAGTGCCATCTTCATCCAATCTGGCGTGCTCTTGCTGCTAATTAGCTTTTACATCCCTCTCTGTTTAATGTTTCACAGCAATAAAGCAAAAGGGCTAGTTTTCTATTTGGATCTCTATTTTCAGAATCAGAAGATAAAAGCTTGTGTGCTTTTTTTCTTAATGGAATATAAAGTGTGCCTGAATTAGAAACACTAAAACTAATTTGCCTTGACCTCTTGAAGAGAATGAAAAATATCAGTTTAAGTGCAATGTTTAGGCAGTTTTTGATGTTGTATAGCTTTATTAATCGTTTATCTTTGTTTTCCCATTCTAAACTAGGAACATGTTTGACAAACTGAACCGTGATGCCTTTTATATAGTTTCTTATTTTTTGTTTCAAACGCTGGATGAAACTCTTGCCAAAGAAGTTTTCAGGTAGGAAAAAAAATTATTTCATTTTCTACTTTTAGTCATTTTCAGAGTTGAAAATAGACTATTTGTTTATATAAGCCCGAATTCTAGCTTTAGATATTATCGTGTTTTCAGTGAATGTGATAATTCAGGTGTGAGCCTTAAAAATGTATGCTTAGCCTTTTTGTAGCTGTATGAGGGCTTTTGTTTCTTACATTTGTTCCTGCTGTTCCTAATAGTCTTTCTGATGTGAGGATTGAGGCAGGGTCTCACTGGAACTCGATGTGTAGACCACCAGAGATCTGCCTGCCTCTAGTGCTGGGGTTTAAAGTGTGTGCCACCCATCACATCAGCTTCATGGTCTTAGGCCTAAAAATGAATGGATTAATGTACACTTATTTTTTTTCTCTATAAAATTTTTATTTTCGGGGCACTAGAGAGATGGTTGTGGTTAAGCTCACTGGCTGCTCTTTCAGAGGACCTGAGCTTGATTCTCAACACCCACATGTTGGCTCACATCCACCTGTGTCTCCAACATACTTTTCTGATCTCTGAAGGCACCAGACATAGAAAGTGGTGTATGCTTGCAGGCAAACAACCGTACACATACATATAGAAAGTTCTTTTTTTTTTTTGAGACCAGAGTCTCGATTATGTGGTTCTGGTTGACCTGGAATCTGTTAGGTTGAACAGGCTGACCTTCAAAAAAATATTTCAACTAAACTAATAATAATACAACCATAAGTAATAGGGGTCTCTTAGTTACTGTTCTATTGTTATGAAGAGACACTAACCAAGGCAAGTCTTATAAGAGAAAGTGTTTAACTGGGGCTTGCTTATAGTTTCAGAAGCATATTCCATAATCATGGTGAGGAGCATAGTGACAGGCATGGTGCTGGAGTATTTAAGAACTTGCATCCTAATCCCTAGGTAGAGAGAAAGAACTTCCTCCAACAAGGCCATTCCTATTTCATTTTGTTTTTTATCTATCTATCTATCTATCTATCTATCTATCTATCTATCTATCTATCTATCTATCTATCTCTATTTATTTATTTATTTGGTTTTTCGAGACAGGGTTTCTCTGTGGCTTTGGAGGCTGTCCTGGAACTCACTTTGTAGACCAGGCTGGCCTCGAACTCATAGAGATCCGCCCGCCTCTGCCTCCTGAGTGCTGGGGTTAAAGGCGTGCGCCACCAACGCCCGGCTTATCTATCTATTTATTTGTTTATTTATTGAGGGTTTCTCTGTGTATCCCTGGCTGTCCTGGAACTAGCTCTATAGACCAGGCTGGCCTTGAAATGGCAGACATTCATGTGCCTCTGCTCCCATAGGTTCATATATGATAGGATTAAAAGGATTTAGCCAGGCTTGGTGGTGTACACCTTTGATCCTAGCACCTGAGAGGCAGAGGCAGGCGGATCTCTGAGTTGGAGGCCGGCCTGGTTTACAGAGTGAGTTCCAGGACAGGCTCCAAAGCAATAAGAAACAACAACAACAACAAAAAAAACCCAAATATTAACTTCAGAAAAAGAACTATTTTCTCATAGAGGGCATTTAGTTGAGCTTAAGAACACTAGTTTAATTCATTTTGCTTTAATTTTTCTACTGTGGAGAACAAATTTTATGTCTTTTAAATTTAGCTAAGTTTGATTTTTGGGGAGGGTTCAATAATCAGCTTTTATGTTTTAAAGAGATTGCTGGCCTCCATTTAACCAAAAACATGACACGGAATTCCGGAAGCATTGCTGTGAATGGTTAAGAGAGATTTCTGTAAGTATTTTATTTTTTGTAAGATAGAAGATTCATCCTTAAGGTTGAGGATATAGCTCAGTAGGTTACTCGCCTAGCATGTGTAAACCCCATGTTCCATTAATAGCACTGTATGTAACAAAACCATCCAAACCAAAGAACAACAGAACAGACTGCTAACTACATTATTCTTTTTGTAAAATGAAGCCTCTGTTGTGTCTTTGTAGGCCAGAGGTTGATTTTGGATGTCTAACTTGATCCTTATATATATATAATTTTATTTATTGAAGCTGGCATCACCCCTCCCCCCCTTTTATGGAAGTGTTTTCTCTGTGTAGCCCTCGCTGACTTGGAACTTACTCTGTAGACCAGGATGGCTTTGAGCTCAAAATCTGCCTGCCTCTGCCTCCTGGAGTGCTAAGACTAAACATGTACCACCATGCCTGGCCAAAGCTGTTCTGTTATTGAACTTGAAGCTTCCCATTACTGTTGGTCTAGTTAGCCAGTTTGCCACCATAAATTCTGTTTCTGTCTTCCAGAGTTTTCAGATTACAGGCAGGTGCTATGTCTGTCTGCTTCTCTTTGGAATTCACAGAATTTTAATTCTGGTCTCATTTATCTACTGGGCCATCTCCCTAGCCCCCAAAGTGAAATTTGTTTTTTTTTTTTTCCTAAGATATAGGTTTCACTATGTAGCTCTGGCTGGCCTCGAACTGATGTGTATATCAGGCTGGTCTTAAGCAAGCTCATAGAGATCTGTCTACCTGCCTCTGCCTGAGTACTCAGGTTAAAGGCCTTTATTTCTCTCCCTAGCACTGGAATTATGTGTGTCACTGTACCTGGCTTTCTTAGGTTTTAAAAATGGTAGGAGAGTGGACTGAGGTAGTAGCTGGTTGAAGCTTTATGTTTTCTATTTTCTCTTCTGCTGTGGAAGTTGAGCTTTCTAAGTCACAGTGCTATGGAGGGGGAGTGCTTATTTTATTTTATTATATTAGTTTATTATATTAGTTTACTATCCTACAGTGAAGAGCTCATGTGTGGCCCACTGCAGGATAATTACACACCCTTTAAAAAAATAGAGCGAGGGGGCTGGAGGGCTGGCTCAGAGGTTAAGAGCACTGGCTGCTCTTCCAGAGAACCCAGGTTTGATTCTCAGCACCTACACGGTAGCTCACCAGCACCGGTTCCAGTAAGCTCCAGTTCTAGGGCATCTGATGTCCTCTTCTGGCCCTACCTCCCAGTGAATTTACCTGGTACACAGACATACATACATACGTGCAGGCAAAACACCCAAACATAAAATAGTAAAATTTAAAAAAGTATGGATTGAAAATGTGACAGTTCCTTTTGGTTGAATCATCTCATCATGTCTTCTCCTAGGCTGAATGTGGAAGTGGTTTTCCCCAAGTTGTTGGCTCCCTGTTTCTTTCTCCTGGTGGTCCTAAGTTTATTCATCTGATGTATCATTTTGCAAGATATGTTGCAATCAAATATATTAAAACAAAATCTAATGGTAAGTTTACTCATACTTTATTTTGTTTTTATTCTTTTTTTTTTTTTTTTTTTTTTGGTTTGTTTTTCAAGACAGGGTTTCTCTGTGTAGCCTTGGCTGTCCTGGAACTAGCTCTGTAGACCAGGCTGGCCATGAATTCACAAAGATCCACCTGCCTCTGTCTCCTAAGTGCTGGGATTAAAGGTGTGTGCCACTGCCTGGTGCCTTGTTTTTATTGTTTGTTGAATTGTTCATAATTTTAAATCAAGATCAAATTGAGTTAAAACATCATTTGCCTGAAAAACCAAATGGTTAGTATTTTACTCATGTATGGTTGAAACCTCATAATGAGTCTGTTAATGTTTATGTTACTACATTATGCTCTGGTGCAGGGATTAGGGTACATTTTCCATAGGAAGGTCGGTAAGTATTTTAGACTTTATGGATCACATAATTTTGCTTTTACAACCCTTTAGAAATACAGAAACTGCCAGCATGGTGGCATATGGACACTTGGAAGTTGAAGCAGGATGAACAGACATTTAAACTACCTATGCTACATAGCAAGTTCCAGGCAAACGTGCACTACCTAGTGAAAAACTGCCTTTAAAAAAAGTGTAGAAATCCATTCTTACCTTGCTTGGCTTAAAAATAGCCACCGAGACAAATCAGATCTCTATTCCAGTGTGGTGAATATATATATACTGGCATTGGGCAATAATTTCATTTCAAATTTTTAATTCATAAAAATCAAGTAAATGAATTTTTTTTTTTTTTTTTTTTTGGTTTTTCGAGACAAGGTTTCTCTGTGGCTTTGGAGGCTGTCCTGGAACTCGCTCTGTAGACTAGGCTGGCCTCGAACTCACAGAGATCCGCCTGCCTCTGCCTCCCGAGTGCTGGGATTAAAGGCGTGCGCCACCAACGCCCAGTTTAAGTAAATGAATTCTTAGAGTTACTAAAAGTGAGTAGTATTTGTAGTTTATTAACTGTGGTGCTATTGTTATTTTTGTTCATGAAATATGGACAGGTACAAGGGAAAGTGTTGAAGTACTGACCCTGCCTGTCCTGGTTTCCTGACATGGCTTGTTTAGTTTATTCAGGTCAGTTAGCACACACTGTTAAATCAGAGCGTGAGAACTCACCCTGTTCTTTAACCTGATCCCCCCCCTTGTTTTGAATTCAGGACCTCTCTGCCTAACGGCTGTCCTGGAACTCACTGTGTAGATCAAGTTGGTCTCAAACTCAAGAGTTTCCTGCCTCTGCCTTCAGAGTGCTGGGAACTAATTTTGATGTTTTTCAGTTGTATAAGCAACAGTGAAATGAGTATTACAAGCAATGTTCCTTTCTTCCTTCTTTTCCCTCTCTTTTTTTTTTTTTTTCCCAAGACAGGCTGGTGTCGAACTCACAGAGATCCGCCTGCCTCTGCCTCCCAGTGCTGGGATTAAAGGCCTGTGCCACCACCATCCAATTTTTCCCCCCTTTGTTTACCGTTCTACCTTCCCTTCCTTCTTTTCTGGTCTCAGCCTCCCTAGTACTAGGATTACAAAGCGTGCCACTTTGACCAGCAATTTCTTTTGTTTAAAAAAAAAAAAAAAGATTCAAAACAGGCTGGAGAGATGGATGGCTCGGCAGTTAAAGGCTAGGCTCACAACCCAAAATATAAAAAAGCCATATACACATGAACAAGCAGATGTTTAGGCCTCCTTCATGGGTTACATAGAGACTTTATCTGGTGTCATAATACATGCTTTTAATTCTAACACTTGGGAGGCTGAGTTAGGAAGATTGCAAGTTTGAGGCCAGCCTGTGGCTACAATGTAAAATCTAGGCTAGCTTGTGCTCATAGTGAGATTGTCTAAAAAGCACTACTCAAACCAAATAAAAAATGAACGAAGTTCATAAATGTGGCTATAGCCCTGGCTTTGGATCTTTTTTCCACTTGGAGATCATTGGGTGTCAGTTGATAGACATTCCTTCCTTTTTCTAGAACTGCTTTTTATTATACTGAACAAATCAGCTAAATTGTTTACCCAGCCTATAGCTGAAAGGCATTTAGCTAACCTTTATAATTACAGTGGTACAATCCAAACTAGATGTGTTTGCATTTGCCTGCTATTTCTAGGCATAATGTTTTCAAACATCTATGATCGAGCTTTATAAATATTTTAAATTTAATGCAACATTAGCATTTTGACAATTTTTCTGTAAATAGATAATTTATCTCAATTACATATAATCCAAGCTATTTTACATAAAATGTGTATGTTTGGATTTTTCTTTGTTTTGTTTGGAGAAACCCTGGCTGGTCTTAGTCTCCCTCTGTGGCCAAGGCTGGCTGGCCTTAATCTCCTGATCCTCCTGCCTCTATCTCCCAACTACTGGGACCATGCTCAGCTTATTATTTAGATTTAATAAGAATTTATTTTGTATTTGGACTTCTGAATACAACTTGTAATTTAAAGTAATTTTAGTCAAGGTTTTCAATGTCTAGGTGATTTCTGAATTCAGTGAACTAATTTCCTTCAAGTAATTAGACATTGTGGAGGTTTCTGTGCAGCGTGTTAGGATGTAAATATGTTGTGTTTTTGTTTTGTTTTTTGAGATAGGGTTTCTCTGTGTAACAGTCTTGGCTGTCCTGGAACTTGTGTTGCAGACCAGGCTGGCCTTGAACGAGATATAGGTCACCTGTCTCTACCTCCTGAGTGCTGGGATTAAAGGTACCAACTACCACCTCCCAGGTGGGTAAGTTGTTTTAAGTGTGGTGTGGAGACCCCGCCTGGGAGAATATCCCTGTTTTTATTGTTAATCTGTCTTTACAGTAGGACTTCTAGATAAAAATCTGACCTGTGATATGTTTGTATGGATTCTTCTTCATTGGTCATCAGTAACAAAGTGAAGAGTTGCTTAAGAATGACACAGGTTTTGTTTTAGTTTTTCCTTCCGTTTGTCTTTCTGAAAAGACGAGCTTATGTGATGTTATCTGTGATCTTGTCTTCCATATAGATGCTCTACGTTTTGCAGAAACATTTAATGCAAAGCCACAAGATATGCACACGTGCCTTGCCAGATGCCATGTAGCACGTAACAGATTTTTACAAATTTTGCAAAGAGAACATTATGTTATTCAAAAATACCAGGAAAATGCACAGTAAGTAATACTTTAAAGTTAGAAAAATTTTCTTTTAAATAAATACCAATATAAATAAGCCTAGAAATAATCTATGCCTACTTCAAATTCTTGGCTATTAACTAATAATCTAATTATACAAATTTTAAAATTATTTTTATTCTTTGTGTTTGAGTGCTTTACTTGTACATATGTCTGTACATCACATGTACCTGGTGCCCACAGAGGTCAGAAGAGGGTGTTTGATGTCCTTGGAAGCAGAGTTACAGACAGTTGTGAGCCACTATGTTGGTGCTAGAAATTGAACCAGAGTCCTTGAAGGGCAGCAATTGCTTAGCCATCTCTTTGGTTGGGGTTGTAGTTTTGAGTTCTAATTGTACTATTCATTCTGTAAATTTTTTCATGTTTCCGTTATGTATTTAATGTTTCCTTCATAGTTTGAATATTTTATACCTCCCAACAGTATAATAGAATACTAATCTATCTCTGTCCGTCTGTCTGTCTGTCTGTCTGTCTGTCTGTCTATCTATCTATCTATCTATCTATCTATCTATCTATCTATCTGATATCTGTTGTTACTTGAGAGGGTCTCACCATGAAGACCTGGCTGACTTGGACCTTGCCATGTAGACCAGGTTAGCATTGAATTGTGTTCCTCTTCTATATTGTATATATAAATACTACAGACTGGCACATTCCAGTTTGTAGTATTTATATGTGCATTTATCTACTCAGCGTATCCTTTTTTCTGTGTTCTGGTGTCACAGCATGAAACGAGACCGGCAACTGTCATGGACGAGTTTGTCCCTTTACTTTTATATATAGAAATAAGCTTGTGTAGTGTGTACACTCCATACTGTGCAAGTGGAAATAAGAGGGCAGCTTTAGAAAGTTGACTCTCTCCTTCTGCTTTATGGTCTGGGGACTGAACCCAGGATGTCAGGTTTGGAGGCAAGCGCTTTTCCCCATTGACTGATCTGTCTCAGTCACTTTAAATTTTACTATTAAAATATTATAGTCAAGAAAAGAGAAAACAAACAAATGGCAGTTCATTATAATTGAAATGTTCTTATCTGTTTTGCCTTGCAGTCTGTCTATTAAGCAAGTACGAAATTTGAGATCAGAATGCGTGGTCCTACAAAACCAAATTAAAAGGCAAGTGACTTTTAGAGCTGAACTTTACCTTATACAAAGTTTAGATCTTGAATTTAACGAGTGATGAAACTACTAAAATTAGAAATAGAATAAATGCTAGGACTGGAGCATGTTTTTTTTCTCACTTTCAGTAAAGTTTTTCAAAGTTATTGCCTTCAGTTTGAGTTCTTTTTGTTTTACGTCAGGATATCACAGTGTATGTAGGTAGCCCTGTCTGGTCTGGGACTTTACATAGATCAGGCTAGCTTTGAACTCATAGAGATCTGTCTGTCTTTGCCTACTGAACATTAGGATTAAAGGCATGCACTACCACACCCAGCTGATAACTTTTTTTTTTTTTTTTGGTTTTTACGAGACAGGGTTTCTCTGTATTGTTTTGGAGGCTATCGGTCCAGCCTGGCCTCGAACTCACAGAGATCCGCCTGCCTCTGCCTCCCGAGTGCTGGGATTAAAGGCGTGCGCCACCACCGCCCGGCTATTTTTTTTTTTTAACTGAAATGCTTGTTAGTAGATTTGCAGACCAATTGGTTTCTTGGAATGTAAAATAACCATGTGGATTTTTTAATGACTAATTGTTTAATTTTTTTATTAGAATGGACCCCTGTGATGATCAGAGTAATATACAAGAGAAAATTCAAAAGGTGAGGTACATTTTTTTAATAGCAGAGGATCTGTTTATTGTGGAAGTCTTTGTAGGTTATTAATGTTAGCATTTTCTGTATTAGTTTATTTCAGAAACCTGACACTGTAATCCCAAGTGAGAAGCAGCAACAAAGAACATATATAACAACTCTAATTTTGTTTGAAAATGTAATTTATGTATATACTTACCTACACATGGGAATTAACAAAATGTTAATAGTAGGGCATTGGTGGAAAGGTTTTGTTTTCTGTATTTTCTAAGTTTTCTATAATGAACCCTTAGCGTATGAGGACAAAATGTTACTTCAAAAAGCATAAGGAAGAGCCGGGCGCACTTGGGAGGGAGAGGCAGGCAGATCTCTGTGAGTTTGAGGCCAGCCTGGTCTACACAGTGAGTTCCAGGACAGCCTCCAAAACAATACAGAGAAACCCTGTCTCAAAAAACAAAACACAACCAAAACAACAACAAAGAAAAGGCACAAGGAAGAGCTGAAGATCTGGCTCAGAGGTTAAGAGCACTGACTGCTCTTTTGGAGGACCCAGTTTGGTTTCCAGCACCCGTACAGTCCTGCACAGTTACCTGTAACTGCAGTCCCAGGAGATCTGATTTCCTTTTGTGGCCTTAGCTAGCCGTGCATGAATCTGGTAAACAGACATACGTGCAGGCGAAACACTCAGACACATAACAGTAACAACAACCATAATAATAATAATACTAATAATACTAATAAAATGTTTAAAAATAGGAAAGTTACTTTAAAAAATACCCCATTGCTTTCAAAGGAAACTAAGTTCATAATGTTTGCACTTACTTTACCTTCATTGTGAAAAGGCTGTGACTTGCTCACCTGCTTTTGTGAGTTTTTTCTGACTGAATTCTGCTTATTTGCTTCATCTTTGATTTGTTTTCTTTTTTTTGAGAGAGAGGGTCTGGATACATAACTGTGGCTGTCTTGGAAGTCAGTATGTAGATCCAGCTGGCCTAGATCTCACAGAGATCTGTCTGCCTCTGCCTCTTCTTGAGTGCTTGACTTGACACCTGGCGTTTGTTTTCTTCTTTTTTCTTCCCCAGACAGGGTTTCCTCTGCCTTTGGAGGCTGTCCTGGAACCAGCTCTTATAGACCAGGCTGGTCTTGAACTCACAGAGCTCTGCCTGCCTCTGCCTCCCCAGTGCTGAGATTAAAGGCGTGCTTCACCACTGCCCGGCTGTTTTCTTCATTTTTGTGCTTGCCATATGTAATAGAATTCTTGAATGGTAGTATAAAGATTTCTTAAGTTTGTTTGAAAATTATGTAAGCTGTATTTTCCCTAAGAAATTCTCTAGGTCAGCTATGATAGCACAAGTCTTTAATCCTAGCACTCAAGAGGCAATGGCAGAGGCAGGTTGATCTCTGAGTTGGAGGCTAGTATGGTCTAAGCTAGTTCTTTGCCAGCCAAAGTTATGTATTGGGACACTGTGTCAAATCCCCTCATCCCAAAAAAGAAAAAAAATTAAGAAAAAGATTTTTTGGGGGGGAATTATGAATACTTTAAACAATTAGAATACAGTCCCATAATTTTCTTTTCAGTTTTTACTTCTTTTGTTAGTAGGGGTGAACAAATATTTATGCCAAGGTTTTCTTAGAGTACATATATGTTATATGTTATATTTTGTTTTCAAAGGTTCGGTCTTTGTGGACTTCAGTGAATGAGACACTCATGTTTTTGGAAAAGGAGAGAGAAGTTGTTAGTTCAGTCTTCAGTCTAGTTAACCAGTGTGCTTTGGATGGAACTAATGTTGCTGTTAATATTCCAAGGCTCTTACTTGACAGAATCGAGGAGCAGATATGCCAGGTAAGCTTTGCTGTCAATGTGTTAAAACAGTGTCACTGCGTCTTACTTTTCTTTTCAACTCAGTGATTTCCCACTGCTTCCAGCATTTGTGTTTTTTATTATCTCTAGTGAAGCCTACATAGAGGTCCTGGCAAAGGTGTGTGCATTTGTATCCATTTGCTTTCCTTAATGTCCTCTTCATTGCACAGTTTTGTATAGTATAGAGAGCTTGACACTGCTTAGTGTGAAGATAGTACTGTTTTGGTTCTTTACGTGTGTGTGTGTGCGTGCGTGCGCGTGTGTGTGTGTGTGTGTACATATACCTGCATGGGCACATGTGGGTGGCGATTGATTTATTCCTTAAGGTAATTGTTACTTAATAGTAAAAATCATAAATATTTAACAGCTTATTTCTATAAGAACCTACAGATCTTTGCTTTTTTCCCTCCCTTCTGAATCTTTAGTTGCAGATGGGAAATGTTTATGAGGCTGGAAAATTGAACCTCTTAACAATTATTCAGTTGTTAAATGAAGTCTTGAAAGTAATGAAATATGAACATTCTAAGACTGACCAAGCAAGATTGACAATAGACCTTCATTACCTTGAAAAAGAAACCAAATTTCAGAGGGAAAGACTGTCAGATATGAAACACATGAGGTACACAGAAAGATATTTGGTTATTTTACTATGGGGTGGGTAGGGTGAGAAATACTGGTATTCAAGAGTCTTATATGTGATACATTTCCAGAGAGACATTGAGGTAAAGGGACAAATAATTACTATCTTGTTTGGATTAAAGTATTTGCCTTATGAAAATTCTTTTTGTTTCTGAGATAGAATCTCACTTTTTAGCCCTGGCTGGCTTGGAACTCAGTATGTAGAACATGTTAACCTTGAACTCATGCATGGCTTTATATGCCTATAATCTTAGTTCTTGGGAGGTTGAGGCATGAGGATTGTTAAGTTTGGGGCCAACTTATTCTATAGAGTGAGATTCCCTTGAAAACTGAGCATGACAAAAGTTCTCATTTGAGTAGGTAGGGCTTGGCTCCTTTTAGAGGCTGATGGATTAGGAGTTGGATTCAGAGTGAAGGTCAGAGCTGGGGGAAATAAAACCCTGTGGCAAAAGCCTGTGACCCCAGCACTTGGGAGGCAGAGGCAGGAGGGTGTGGAGCTCTAGGCCACCTTCTGCTAGGTAGCTTAGGCCAGCCTGTAGTGTATGTCACTGTCTCAAAAGAAAGTTTGTTTTTAAAATAAGCGGAGTAGTAGATGTATGATTGCTTTTTTGTTTTAAAAGAAGAAAAAGTGTACTTTAAATTCTAAAGAGTCAATTCTGAGAGTTAATTTATATATAATTTAATGGTTAATCTTTGATATTCTTCTCTGACCTTGTACTATTGTCTTAAATTGTGCTATATTTTTATTTGTCCTTCAAATACAGTTATTTCTTATGATATCATAGGCATAAAATAAAAGAGAACGTCGCTGCAATAAGACAGTCTATCCTTGAAAAGGAAGGAAAATGCCGTAAGAAGTGGAAAGAATTTCTTGGTCTGTCTCCTTTCAGTCTAATTAAAGGCGGGGCTTCAGTAAGTATTATAGACTTGGGATTTGGAGAAGAGTTTAATTTTGGCAATTTTCCTAAGTTTTAACAGTCTTTTAATTTATGCTATAGTAACCTAGAAGAGTGTGTGTGTGTGTGTGTATTTATTGTGTTTACACTGAAGTAGAGGTACAATAGTGTATTACTGTATGTTTGATGAAGGTAGAATAACACATGTGTCATGACGCGCATGCAGAAGGCACAGGATGATCTTAGGGAGTCAGTGCTTTCCAATCCTTTTCTCTTGTGTCCTGGAATTGATTCAGGCCCTCAGGCTTGCTGGACCAGTGCTTTTACCTGCTGAGCCATCTCACCAGCCCAAGTTATTTCTGTTTTGAGAGAGTTTCATATGCCCCAAGTTGACCTTATACTCTCTGTGTAGCTGCTGATGAATATGACCAGCTCATTCTCCTGCATCTGCTCCTAAATGCTAGGACTATAAGCCCGGCCACCATGCTTGGCTCAGTGGCTTTTTAGAGACAGGTACCTGTTGTGTAGCTGTGTATCCCAGGCTGATCTAGAGTACATGTAGCATAAAGCTATCTACATACTAGATTTATAGTTGTGTGCTACTGTGCATTTAAATGTTTTAATTAGTTGCTTTTTCTAAGTACATAATAGTTTTTCATCAAGCTACTGTTATTTATAGTTACTCATTTTAAATTCAGAGGGTTAAAAATACTACTAAATAAAATTTGAGACTTGCTTATACAAACAAATATTATTTGTTTGATTGTAAAAAAATGTTTGCAGGGGAGGGAGAGATGACTTATCAGTTAAGTCCACTGGCTGCTCTTCCAGAGGAGCCTAGCACCCATTCCATGGCTTATCACCAGCTAAAACTTCAATTTCAGGGTATCTGATGCCCTCTTCTGGCTTCTGTGGACACCAGGCACATATGTAGTGCATGTACATGTAGACAAAATGTCCACACACATAAAAATAAAGAAAAAATAGTCACAGGATAGATGTTTGGTAATTTATTGTTAGGGGAAAGTCCACTTATAGAAGAACTTAGCTTTATCATTGTGGTTGTTTGTGAGAGCGTTGACTTTAATTTGTGAATTCTGTATTTTAAGGCTGTGGATCTTTTGCCCCCCATGTCTCCCCTTTCGTTTGATCCTGTGTCAGAGGAAGTACATGGAAAGAGTACACTTCTAAAGTATCCTGCTTTACTTCCAGGTTGGTACGCTCCCCCAGTCGCTTTTCAAGACTGTCTCATTGTAAAGCATTGACTGACCTAGAACATACTGTTAGACCAGTCTGCCCTGGAACTTGCAGCTGTCTTCCTGTCTCTTTGTTCTGAGTGCCAGGAGTGCAAGTGTGTACAACTGCACTTGGCATATTTCTCATTGTTTATAATAGTTATTTCTATTTTTAAAATAATGTTTACATTAATTGTGTGCTTATTGATGTACATGTGTATATACACTCAATAGTGCTTGTGTGGAGGTCGCAGAACAACCGAGTTCTCTCTCTCTGCCTTGTGAGACACCAGGATCAAACTCAGCTAATCAAGCTGGGTGGCAAAGTGCCTTTACATACTGAGCCATCTTGCTGGCTCACCAGTTATTTTTACTGTGAGATGTATGTAGCATAAAATTTCTGTTTTGGTGACAAAAAGTCACAAAGGATAGAATCCTGTCATTTGCAAAACACGAATGCTTCAGCCTATCTGAGGGTTGGGATTTGAGATGTGAGACACCAAACCTGGTGTTTACTCAGTACTGTACAATAGTTGGCTCCGTTTTAGAAACCTGGATTGATAAATCATCTTTAGGACTGTGATGGTAAAGCCTGGTTTCCTGCCTTCTGTCATCTCTGACATATTGACCGTTTACCTCATTGTCATTCATTGTATACAATTAAACCATAATTTATGGTTCTTGTAAGATTTCCCTTTTTATATTATGCAGGTTTTTTCAGACATGCCTAAATGTAGGTTTGTTTTTATCTATTTGGGTTGTGTATGTGTATTCTAGGAGCTCATTATTCTCCAAGTTGGACAATTTGTTTTCCTGTGTCTTCTCTAATATTGCCTATTATTGCCTGTCTTTACATGTGTGTGTTTGTGTGTGTGCGAACATGTGTATGAGGGTGCCCGTAGAGGACAGAAGAAGTGTCAGATACCCCAGAGCTACAGTTAAGATGGTTTTGAGCAGTCTGATATGGTCCTGTAAAAGCAATAAGCTGTAGTTGGACTTTTCCTCAGACTGTTGGGTCTCCCATAATGACAGAGACTTTTATTATGAAAGCTCTGCCAGTAACTTAGGCTTATTCCTAACTAGTTCTCATAACTTAAATCAACCCATTTATATTAATCTATGTACTGCCACATGGCTCGTGGTTATTACTTCTCCTACCTGTCTTGCTTGTTCTCTGTCTCTCCCTGTCTCTGCCCTTCTTCCTAGTGCCTTCTGTGCTTGGAAATCCTGCCTAGCTGTTGACCAGTCAGAGTGACATCTTTACACAGTGTAATCAAATACCTTGTAACAATAAGTGCTTTTTTTTTTGTTTGTTTTTTTTGTTTGTTTGTTTGTTTTGAGACAGGGTTTCTCTGTGTAGTTTTGGAGGCTGTCCTGGCACTCGCTCTGTAGACCAGGCTGGCCTCGAACTCACAGAGATCTGCCTGCCTCTGCCTCCCGAGTGCTGGGATTAAAGGCGTGTGCCACCAACGCCCAGCTTAAGCTATAAGTGCTTTTAACTGCTGAGTCATCTCCATCTTTCATTTTTAAATCCTTTCCTTCTGGAACTCTGTCTTAGGGTTTCTGTTGCTGTAAGCAGACACCAGGACCAGGGCAATTCTTAGAGGAAAACATTTAATGGGGTGGCTTACAGTCTCAGAGGTCTAGTCCATTATGGCGGTATGTGGAGGTGTTCAGGCAGACATGGTGCTGGAGCTGAGAGTCCTGTATCTCTGACATCAGGCAACAGGAAGTGGTCTGAGACACTGGGCATGGCTTGAACATATATGAGACCTCAAAGCCCACCTCCACAGTGACACATTTTCTCCAACAAGGCCATACCTACTCCAATAAAGCCACACCTCCTAATAGTGCCACTCCCATTGGGAGTCATTTTCTTTTAAACACCTGCAAAATCCTATTCTGTTTTGTCACTGTTGTTACTCATTTTGTTTTAGGCAGTGTCTAACTTGAACCCCAGGTCAGCCTCAAACTTGGAGATTCTGGTGCCTCAGTCTCTCAAATGTTGAGATTAGAGGTATGTGGCACCACTCATGACTAGTACATCTAATTCTGTCTTTCATCTCTGTTGTCATTTGTATATAGAAATTCTTACTAGGTGTTGGTGGCACACACCTTTAATCCCAGCACTCAAGGAGGGAGAGGCAGGCGGATCTCTGAGTTCGAAACCAGCCTGATCTACAAGAGCTAGTTTTAGGACAGCCTCCAAAGCCACAGAGAAACCCTGTCTCGAAAAACCTCCCTCTCCCCCTCCTCCTCCTCTTCTCCATATAGGGTTTGGCTATCCTGGAATGCAGTTTGTAGACCAGACTGGCCTCAAATTTACAGAGATTCGTCTGCCTCTGAGTGCTGGGATTTAAATGTGTGTGCCACCATGGCCCTGCAAGTTGTTTCTTCTTCTTGAAATATTTGGTTGCAGTTTTACTTTTAGTGGTTCTCTCCACATGGAGAAGTTCATGTTGGCCTGGAACTCCATGTAGCATAAGTTAATCTTGAACTTACCTTTTTTTCTTTCCTTCTTTTAAAAAATGATTTATTTTTATGTGCATTGGTATTTTGCTTGCTTGTTTGTGTCAGAAATCCTATAGCTAGAGTTATAGACCGTGTGAGCTGCCATGTGGGTGCTGGGAATTGAACCTGGGTCCTCTGGAAGAGCAGCCAATGCTTTTAACCATTGGACCATTTTTCCAGTCCCTGAACTCAGCTTTCTAAGTGCTGGGATTATGAGTATGAGCACCACCTCATGGTTATAAACTTTTTATTTGCCAGACAGATGAGTTTCAGTTCTGCCTACCAGCAACAGGTGATATTTATAGTTGTATGTAGTAATTTGTTTTTACAGTGTTGTACTAGTTTTGTGGTATTTGTGTTTGTTCTCATTTGGGGAATGTTTTATAATTCCATTATAGTCAGTAGATGCAGAGGGTTTTGAAAACTTACGCATGCCTTTCCTTCCAGCACTTTGAGGCAGAAGCAGGGCATCTGTGAGTTTGAGGTCAGCCTGATCTACAGAGTGAGGTCCAGGACAGCCAGGGCCATACGAGAAAGAACCCTGTTGCAGTGCTTTAGTGTCTTTCCTCTCTGGTGTATATCCTCTGCCTCCTTGCATACTTCTGGCATACTGCTGTAGCAGTAGAATAGGGCACTTCAGTCACCACTATCCTAGACTCACTGCTTGGTGTCAGAGTCTCTTTTATTTCTTTGCTGTATTAGTGGGTTAGTGACTGAGTTGTTTATTGATAGGATGGTGAAAACAATTATGTAGGCATATTGATGTCATAATTGCATTGAAATATGCTAAGTACTTTTTGGTTTTGCTTGCTTAATATTGTTAGCACATGATTTATTCACTCTAAATGAAACATGGTTATTTAACACTGAATTGGTGTTGATGATCAAACTTGGGGCCATGCACATGTACCTATCCAAGCTGGCCTCAAACTCTCTGTATAGTGAAGCTGGCCTTGAATTCTTTTTTTTTTTTTTTTTTTTTGGTTTTTCGAGACAAGGTTTCTCTGTGGCTTTGGAGGCTGTCCTGGAACTCGCTCTGTAGACTAGACTGGCCTTGAACTCACAGAGATCCGCCTGCCTCTGCCTCCCAAGTGCTGGGATTAAAGGCATGGGCCACCAACGCCCAGCTTGGCCTTGAATTCTTGCCTTCACCTTCTATGTGCTAGAATAACAGCACCGTGCCTGGCCACATCAATCTTTCTATAGAAGCCTACTACTAGATTGGTGGCATGTGCCCTTACCTGCTGAGCCAACTGTCTTACTGGCCTTAGTTTTTAAAAACTTTCCTGTGTGGTGGTCTGAGTGTGTGAGTATGGGGCAGGGTCTCTTGTTGCTTTTTTGCAGTTCTGCAAGGTCATTTGACCTGCAGTCCCCTATTTTCTCTGTGTCTGCCTCTCATTTCCTTAGGGTCCTGCGGTTATAGCTACACTATGTCTTGGGCTCTAGGGGTTGAACTCAAGTCATCAGCGTTGTACAACAAATCGTTTTTACCCACTGATTATGCCCTTGCCTCCTTACTCATGTTTATGTCATCTTCTGTTTTCTTTCATTTAGAAACCATTCTAACCAGTTGGGATTGAATTCAGCTCAACAGATAGAGCACTTGTGCAACATTAACAAAGCCTGTGTTTGAACCATTTCTAGAGGTCGTTAAATGTTAGACTACACAAACATAACTGAAAGAATAATTTTTGAACTTCCTTAGATACACATAAAGAACATAACCAAGAAAATGGTAGCAGAAGAGAAGCCGATACCCTGGGAGGTGTGTGTGATCTAGCCAACAGGTAAAACATTTGACTTTCATGCTAACTGTTGATTCTAGTCTCATCTTGAGCCAGTTTAGAACTCTGTACTGTAGAATAGTGCATGGTTTCTTCCTTTCAAGCAGACAGTGTCTTTCTACTGCAGCCCCACATTTGCAGAAGACATTCATTACTTGCCTGGGCATTTTTCCTCTTCTATTTATCTGAATATTGTGTTATATGGGAATTATCTGAGTAATGGGGAAGTCCTTCTGTGTGTATATGTAAATAAAGCACTGCTGGCCAATAGGGAAGCAAGATAGGTGGGACTAGGAGTCTAGGAGGATTCTGGGAAATGTAGTCAAGAGAGTGGTTGCCATGTGATTACAGGAAGAGGACACATGAGGGTGCGTCCTTGGAAAGATAAGTCCTTATAGAAAAATATATTATAATTATGGGTTAATATTTAAGTCAGAGCTAGCCAATGAGAAATCAAGCAAATGGCCAACAGCTTCATAATTAATAAAGCGTCCTGTGTGTTATTTGGGGGCTAAAGTGGCAACGGGACCCAGGCGGGATCCCACAACGTCTGAACTTTGAAGAAAGTGCAGGTTTGGACATTGCATAAGGTAAGTTTGGGAATTTTTGCTCTTTTCTGTGTGTGTGAACTATTTTTGAAATCAGTCTTAACCATTGAATCTAAAGGTTTGGGGCGTTTGAGGTCGTCTGGTTTGGGGGGACTTTTTTGACTAGTGCTTTCTGTTGCGGTGGCTGGGTCTAATTTAGCTTTCCTTCTTTAGCCTGCTTAAATTGTTTCCGTCTGTTTTATAAAAGTTTTCTTTCTAGTTTATGTTTGTTATGTGTTTGAGTGCTTTGCTTGCATGTGTGTAAGCGGACTGAGTGCATACGTGGTGCCCTTGGAGGCCAGCAGAGGGTGCCAGATTCACTGAAACTTAGTTACAGTGAAGTGAGCCGCATTGTAGCTGCTAGCGGTAAGCATTCTGCAAGAAGAGCAGGCGCTCTTAGTGGTGAGTCATTGCTCTGGCCCATATACTGCAATTTTTTCTTATTTGTTTGTTTGAGACAGGGTCTCACTCTGTAACTCGGCTCTCTCAGAATACAGGCTGATCTTGAACTCAGACTCACCTGCCTCTGTATCCTTAGTGCTAGGATTAAAGGTGTGCACAATGGTGGGCTTATACTGAAGTTTTTGATGTTTTATAAAGAGTTCACATTCTTTAGGAAAAATATTAGAAGACATCTGATTTACTCTAATACCAGATTCAATATAAAAACTTAAGCCTCTTTTGTTACCACTTCAGGAATTATGTTTTTTTATTGCCCTTTTCCTGTTATCCTATTTAGCTCTTACAATCAATGTCTGATATAAAGTAAAAAACTGGTGACCAGTGAGATACCTTAGTGTGTAAAGGTGCCTACTACCAAGCCTGAGGGCCTGGATGTGATCCTGATCCTTTGGACTCACATAGTGGAAAGAGAGAACTGACTCCTCCAAGTTGTCTGCTGATTTCCATATGTATGCTGTGAAATGCACCCCCCCCATGAATTTTTTTAAAAAAGTAAAAAACTCTGAATTAAATGTAATCCATGTATTTTCTATTGTAAGTAAGAATTATTATGTAACAATGAAACAGGTACACTGAACAGATTGTATTTATGTGTGTATGTGTGGTGTATGCTTATGTATGCACATATGTGTTCAGTGTGCACACCTAGGCATGTGTGCATATGTGGAGGCCAAAGATAATGACTAGGTGTCTTCTATTCCTCCCCACCTTATATTTTGAGGTAGGGTCTCTCACTGAACCTGGATCTCACAAATCAGCTAGATTGGGTGCTAGTGAACCTTTGAGGTCCTTGTGTCTCTGTCTCCTAGAATTACAGGGTTAGGCTGCCATGTCTGACTTTTTTTTATGTGGTTGTTAGTTGAGGCTCTGGAATCTGATCCTCTAGCTTGTGCAGTGAGCACATGAACCATCTCTCCAGCTCTTGTATTGTTTTTTACACTTTTTTATTTCTGTGTGGATGCATGATTGCGTGTGTGTGGGGTCAGAGTGACAACCTTGCGAGCTTTTTTTTTTTTTTTTTTTTTGGTTTTTCGAGACAGGGTTTCTCTGTGGCTTTGGAGGCTGTCCTGGAACTAGCTCTTGTAGACCAGGCTGGCCTCGAACTCACAGAGATTTGCCTGCCTCTGCCTCCCAAGTGCTGGGATTAAAGGTGTGCGCCACCAACGCCCGGCTCAACCTTGTGAGCTTATTCCTTCCTTCTACAATGTCAGTTCCAAAGCTCAAACTTAGGTTGGCAGGGTTGGCAACAGTGGCTTTACTTGCTGAACCATCTTGCCAGTTCCCATCTTTTTTTTTTTTTTTTTTGAGATTTGTTTTTAGTATTTTTTAGTCATGTGTGTATGTGTATGTGCATATGAGTGCAGGTGCCTGTGGAGGCCAGAAAAGGGTGTTTACAAGTTGCTATTTTTATTATTAAAACTTGCACTTCCATGAACATACATAATTTTAATTACTATATTGTGTTTTTTCATGGCTTGGGAAGGGAGCAGTATAAAGTATTTAATACAGCCACACTGTCATTGCAGGCTTAAGGTGGGTGGATTGCTGTTTATTTTTTTCATATTTAAAAATAATTTATATTATTTTTTTTAGAGAAATTCAGTACTTTGTGCTGAAACTTTCAGGATTTCATACATGACAGTATACTTATATTTATCCTTGCTATGGGATTTTAACCTGTAGGTGTTATAAAAAATCTTCTAACCCCCCATGATAAAACCAAAATAAATAAAAGGAAAAATATTTATTATTATGTGTGTGTGGTAGGGGCACAAGTATGTCTTTGTGTGCAAAAATTAGAGGACAACTTTTGAGAGTTTGCTCTGCTCTACTGTGGAATTTGGAGCTTGCACTCAGATTGTTAGGTTGACATGGCAAGTGTTTGTCACTGAGCTGTCTGATATTACAGGCGTGTGCTACCATGTCTAGTTAAAAGAATATTAAAGTCTGCTACTATGAAATTGTATTAACATGCTGAGGATATTGTACTAATGTAATTCTAGTTAGTTGAATTATTATTACTATTTTTTGAGACAGGGTTTGTCTGTATTGCTTTGGAGCCTGTCCTGGAACTCGCTCTGTAGACCAGGCTGGCTTTGAACTTAGAGATCCGCCTGCCTCTGCCTCCCAAGTGCTAGGATTAAAGGTGTGTGCCACCAAAGCTCGGCTGAATTAATTTTTAAGTTGTATTGAATTTGTTATGTGTCAAATCACTTAACCATGTAAAAATGTTATTGACATAAAAAATATAAAGTAAGAACGTTTGGGTTAATTGGGAGAATGATACACAAATTGGGCAGAGGTACTGCTCTAATTGTCACTAGACCTCCCTAGAATAAATTGCCTTTTGATGACCAGGACGAATTGAGAGAAATCGTCATGGACAGATACGGGGCAGACAAATTCTTAGGTATTCAGATACATCAAGTGAGTGAACGCCTCCCTACTTATAACTTTATAACTTGGATTTGCTGTCTTTTCTTTCAGCCCTGTGCCTTTCTCCTTACAGTGTGCTTCGTCATCAGATGCAAACAGTTCCACACTACTTGAAAAGGTATATTGTAAAACAGTTTTCATTTTTGTTGATTTGCTGTAAGACACTGTAGGCAGAGTTTCTCTGTGTCTCAGTAGCCGGTCCCAAATAAATGTGCAGAGACTTATTATCAATTATAAATACTCAGCCAATGGCTCGGGCTTATTAGTAGCTAACTCTTACTAATCTAACTCATATTTCTTAATCTAAGTTCTGCTACCTGGCTCATGGCTCATTAACTTCACTTTCTACAGAGGCTTCCTCCACCTCTGGCTTCCTACTCCTCTCTCTCCACCCTTCTTCCCAGCATTCTCTCTGCCCGGAAAATCCTGCCTCGCCATGTTTATTAATAATGAGAGCAATACGCATTTACAGTATATGAAGATTGTTCCACCGCAAGACACGGCCTTGCTAAATGACCTAGACTCTTTTCTTGAACTCACCGTGTAGCCCAGGCCAATCTTGAACTCATGGCAATTCTCTTGCCTTAGCTGCCGACGTACTGGGATCACACAGGTATCTAATGCCTGTCTTTAAAAATAGTTGTAATTAATTGTGAATATAGTGATTTATAATAAAATATTATTTTGGTGACATAATAACTTAATTATATTCAAAGTTTTTTCTCCCATTTTTGTATGTTTTCAATTCTCTTACTAAGTGAAAATGTGAAATTATTTAGCTCTGCCAGTGAACACATACTTTCACAGTAGTATTGTTTTTTGCCAGTGTGGTGACACACTCAGTCCTGTGATCCTGGTCCTTGAGAGGCCGAAGCATAAGTGTCTCCAGGTGAGGCTAGCTTGGGCTACACTGCAATTCAATGTTAGCCTGCCTACTTGATAAGACACTGTCTTAAAAAGTAAAACAACTCAACTTTTAGCCCATGAATCTCAAATGAAGCTTTTAGCTTCAAAATCTGGAATGAAGAGAGTTTTAAAATCAGCCATGGTTGTTAAGGTTGTAATGTACATCTCTTTTTCAGGATCCAAATATGAGAACTCCCAAAGAGAAAAACACGATGAGTTTTAAGAAAGTGCCAAACTCTGACATGGAAGACTCTCCTTTATTAGATATTGCAAAGAATACACAAACTAGTGTATTCAGCGGATCTCTGCCATTGAAAAAGAGTGATCTGTTCCAGAGAGAGCAAGACCATCTGGTAGAAGAGGTTAGAGAAAGACTATTCATAAATATGCCTGTCTGCCTGCCTGCCTGCCTGTCTGTCTGTCTATCTTCTGTCCTCCCTCCCTCCCTCCCTCCCTGCCTCCCTCCCTCCCTCCCTCCCTCCCTCCCTTCCTCCCTCCCTTCTTTTCTGTTTTCATTTTGCTTTGTTTCTTTCGAGATAGTGTTTCTATGTGTAGCCTTGGTTGTCCTGGAACTCACTCTGTATAGATCAGGCTGGCCTTAAACTCCCAGAGATGGGCCTGCTGCCTCTGCTGGGAAGAAATGTGTGTGCCACCATTGCCTGGCTTCATGCTTCATCTCTGTTATTTTTTTCTAAGTGGTGTTGGGATCAGAAATGGAGTGCAGTTGTTGAGTAGTAGGGGTAGTTTGAAGTAAAGGAAGTCACTGATAATAAAAGTTAGACTAGGGTATGGAGAGATGGTTCAGTGGTTAAGAGCATGTGCTGCTCTTGAAGAGGACCCGAGTTGTCCCTGACACCATGCATGGTGGCCCACAACTGCTGTAACTCAAGATTCAGTGCTATTGCCTTCATGGGCATGCACTAACACATAATTAAAAATACAAATAATTGCCGGGCAGTGGTGGCGCATGCCTTTAATCCCAGAACTCGGGAGGCAGAGGCAGGCAGATCTCTGTGAGTTCGAGACCAGCCTGGTCTATAGGACAAGTTCCAGGACAGCCTCCAAAGCCACAGAGAAACCCTGTCTCGAAAAACAAAATCTTCATAAAACTTAAGGTTAAAATGAAATCAGCCTTTTAAAAAAAGGTAAAAGTAGATTTCTTTAAAAAAATTTAGTCAAGAGCTACATATTAGTTACTTCCTATTCTTTAAATATCATTCAGTGTATAAACATAATACATGGTCAGTAGTTTATGAATTAAACCATTGCATAAATTGTTAGGTAAATACTCTCAAAGTTTATAGCTATTTGAATACTTATTTTGTATTTCTTAGCTTTTTTTTAAATATAAGAACTAAGATTCTGTGATACCATTGAGCAGAGGTTTTTTTGACCTTGTTTTCTAAATATTTCCAAAGAGACAAAATTCACTGGCTATTCTTTAAAGTTTCTTTTTTTAGTTTAATTCTTTGTGTGTGTGTGTGATGGCTCACAACTGTTTGTAATGAGAACTGATGCCCTCTTCTGGCCTGCTGGGATCCATGCAGACAGAATACTGTATACACAATAAATAAATAAATCTTTAAAAAAAAAGGATGTTTCTAACCTGTTCTTTCTTCTTTTGGGCTTGGTCATTTTCTTTCTTTTTTTTCTGTTGCAGGTTGCCAGAGCAGTTCTGTCTGATTCACCACAGTTCTCTGAAGGAAAAGAAGTAAAATTGGAGGAGCTAATTGATACTCTAGTTTCTAATCCTTTCTTACCTAGGAAACAAATTCCCCGAACTCCAGAAAATTTGAGTGAGTTAATGCTTTCTGTCCCATTTTCCCTTTCTAAGACATTGCCACCAGTAGACTCATTATCTAAAACTGTTTCTGTATTTCTTATTTCATTGGCAATGGCTTTTTTTATTGTGATAGAATGGATTTTGTTGAAGTATCCAGTGTGATCACTTATATTTTATACAACACCCTTTTGTCAGTAATCTTTTGTGACTTCAGTGTACCTACACAGAAGCATAACCAGTCCTGATATTATCATCTTGTTTTACTTGTATTACTTGACTATTTTTCTGAAAAATATTTTATTTGGTTTCTTGAGAAAAGATTCTGGTGCCAGTTGAGCCATCTCTACATGGTGGAAGGAGAGAATGGACTCCTAGAAGTCGACCTCTGTCCTTAATACATGTGCCCATACATATGCACATGTGCATATAAACACCCCCCTCAAACAAACGAACAAACAAACGTGTTTAGCGAACATGGGGATTATTATTTTAATCAGCCATCACACTGCTTGCATAGAGTTTTACCCTTGGGCAAAAATAATCATATCGTCAAATGCTTACCCTAGTACTTACAATTGGTGTAGGCACATATCTGATACATAGTCCCTTATTTAACCAATGTGGAGTGTTTGGATTAAATGATTCAGTATAATTTCTTCTTTGCTGCTGATTTAATTCATACTGAAGTGAGACAGCCTGGGTTGGTGTTCTTCAGAGCACAACCAGTGAAATAAATAGGGCCTTGCAGTGTCTTGTTTTAAAAAGTTATGTTTAATACAGCCATGCTCATGTGTTGACCTGTTGTTTATAGCCATTTCCATGCTACAATGGCACATTTGAGCAGTTGTGGGAAATCAGGTAGCCAACAGAGCCTAAAAAACTAATATTTAGGCCTTTATAAAAAAAATTCTGCCCACTTCTGGCATGGAGAGACAAAAATGTTTTTTATGCATGTAATCACATGTATTGTGTAGAGGTGTATATGTGTACTTCAGGAACAGCTGTTGTGTGTACTAACTTGAGTTTGGTCCTTTGGAGGTGAAGTCTTCTGATGTTCAGATTTGTCATCTTGCTGGCATGTATATGGGACCTGGACTGAGGCAGGAGCTTTGTTTTCAGCACTAGAATAAAGATTTTAATTGCATGTCTGTGTTTCAGAATATGTAAATAGTGAATTATTTTTTTTTCACCTTAATTAGTAACTGAAGTTAGGAATTCATGGAGGAAAGCTGTTGAAACTGAAGATAACAGAAGTTCAGAAGGGATTCTAGTAGATGTCAAAGCTAGAGAAGTGTCGCCAGAGTCTTCACCTGTACCAAATAACCAGAGGGAACTAAGCATGGCTCTTTTTTCCTCTGATTTTGATCAATCCTATATGCCTGAAGAAAAAGCTGTCCCAGACCAGCTCAGAAGTGTGCCTCAGAAGCCTCTGGTGACAAGTCAGATCGGCGACCTCACAACAGAAGATGGGTCAGACTTGGGAAATAAGAGAATGTTTTGTGAGCAGGATTTAGAGTGTGTGACCACCAGGCTTTCAGAAACTGGACAAATGGAGGCGTTTTCCCTTGCTGTGGACAGAGGACTAGATATGGTGGGTGTAAGAGAAGAGGACTCTGTTGGAAAATCTGACCATTCACAAGCTTCTCGCAGTGAATCGTCCACACGTAAAACTCTGTTCTGGGACTCTTTTCAGAGGTTGAGTGGCATTGGAATATTACACGAAACTCTTCCAGAAGAAGTTGGTCACCTAAGTCTTGATAGCTGTATTACTTCAGAGACCAGTTTTAGACTGGAACCAAATAGTTCTGTGCACAGTGATGCTTTTCCAGATGATGTTGGAAAAAGACAAACCACTCCAGAAGTGGATTCCAGTTTTCAGGCTATTCTCAGTAGTTACGGGGCACTGAAGAAATCCCTTAACAAATTAAGGCAAGAATCTCACCTGTCTAATTCCATGACACTTAAACAAGATAAAGTAGAATTGAGTCCTGTAGCCAAAGACATACAAGCGAATGATACACATACTTTTTTGGGCACTCAAGATTTGTTTTACACAAAGCCATCTTCCCACATGTTCTTTGATGAAAGAACACAGTCTGTATCACCACTGACTAAAGTTTCTCTGCTGGAGCAAAAATTGAGAACTACGTTACCGAGTAGTCTCAGGGAATTTCTGCCTAACTTAAAAGGTAAGAGTTAACCAGACCTCTGTACACACCCTTGGCGAACTATTCTCTCAACTTGAGAGTAGCATTGTACCTCTGGCTAGCCACAAACTCACTGTATAGTTCAGGCTGACTTCAAATTTACCATGTGGCCCAGGCTATTTCTTTTCTTTCTTTTTTTTTTTTGGTTTTACGAGACAGGGTTTCTCTGTATTGTTTTGGAGGCTGTCGGTCCAACCCGGCCTCGAACTCACAGAGATCTGCCTGCCTCTGCCTCCCGAGTGCTGGGATTAAAGGCATGTACCACCACTGCCCGGCGGCCCAGGCTATTTCTAATCTGTTCACTTGTTTTTTCATAAATATAGTACAAGTGAATGTTGCATGATCATGATGGGTAATGTGATAACTATAATCTTTATACCTTCATCTAGGCTAAGAGAAGTGAGCCCTCTTTATGGGTACTTTCAGAGTTCCTGTGATTATATCTATCCCAAGTCTATCTGTCTTGGTGGTCACAATTCAACCTGTAGGTTATAAGTTATTGAAACTAAGTGACCACATTTTATTAATCATAATTCTCTTATTTTCATGTTTTAAAAGTTGTGTAATAAAGAATTAAAATTATATTTCAGTATTTTAGGACAGATGTGGGCCTTGTTATACTGGTTCCTTGCATATTACTTTGATTTTCCCTTGATAATTAAATACTGTTTTTTTTTTGAAAAGTATTCTAGAAGTGCATTGATTTTTGGAGAAAATGCATTTCAGTAGAAATGGTAATTTTATTTATTATTTACTAGTGCATCTTACACAAAGTAAGCCTTTTAGAAATCAAAAAAATTGCTACTGCTTGGAATTGTTCCTACTTTTCTTTGCAATGCTTATTTTCCTCCTTTAAAAATGAATTTTTGCAGAAGAAGAAATCTCAAGTAAGAACCCTGAAGCAAGAGAACCTCTGATTTGACAAGATGAAGCTGTTTCCAGTTAATTTAGCTGTGATGCACTTAAACTGAAGCCTTGCCATTCAACTGCAGCTGATCTAGACACACCATTGGAAGTATAATAATCTTTTTCCAAGGTCAAAGAACTTACGAATGCACTTTGGCATCTTGTAATGCCATTAGGTGTTTAGGTCTTTTTTGATAAATATATGAGGTTGAACTGTGAAGTATTTAGAAATAGCAAAGGTCAAGTTGTGGGAAACCATTTTGATTCCTAGAATAATCTTGTAACATAAGTTATGGCAAATATCATAGTTATGTTAAAATATCAGTTATTAACATATGGGCAAGTGTGTAATCTAATAACCACTGAATAGCCTCATTTTTCATTTTAGAGAAATAAACCAATGTGTTGGATCTTTAGAGTTTGTGAAATTGTAAACAGGCCTAATGAATTAATTCCAAGTATATTGATCCTGCAGAACGATGTAGATGGGATTAAGCTCATGTGAGAAGACAAGACAGAATGAATTTGAGAAGAGCGTGGGAGAGCTAGGTGATGAGACATTTAAAGAACACTATCAAATTGTATTATTTCATTTACATGGATCGAGAATTTAACCCTAGTTTATATTTAACAAAATTATAAATGAAAAATTCACAAATCTGTTTTACTGTTGTCTGTGGGTGACATGGGACCGGTATTGTTTTGGGGAAAGCAACAAGTTATATGTTACTGATCAGAATCTATTAAAGTTTCCTAGTGCCTACAGTATATCCAAAAATAATTTGAGAAAAGTGAACGTGGATTTAAGTAATTGTAACATTTGTACATTTTGCCTTATTGCCAAGACTTCTTGCCCAGAAATGGGTATGTTTATAACATCTAAGGAATGAGTACATGGGCTTGAATAAATGTGACTAGAAGAGGCACTGAAAGGTTGATTTATCTGTCCCCAAGTCCTCTAGAGAACGAGGGAGGAGAAAGGTTGGAGGAAAGAGCACTGGAAGTAGGAGGGCAGGTTGTCAGAAGGCCATGGGAAGCTCCTCAGTGGCAGTGGATAGAAAGAGAGGACAGGTTCCAAAGGTGCTGGGTTTCACTAACTCAGCAGAGGGACTGTACGTATGGTCTACTGGGAAACCATTCTGTTGTCTGTTTTAGAGATAGACTCATATCTAAATTCTGAGTAGCGTATTAGGTAAGAGGAGTGACTGTCAGACAAGCATCTGTCGTGGCACAGTCAAAGCTGAGTATTTAATATGCATGTTTATTTAACCTTCATAATTGAGATAGCAGGTGCATCTAGCCTGCGGGTAATGAAGCTATGGAGAATAAAAGGCTGGAGTGGAATGCGGGGATCATCTGAGATGCCTTTTTAAGATGCTTGTCTATGAGAGGGCCTAGAAATCCCATCTCAGGTATGCTTCCCTGCTAATTTACAAGTTAGGAAGGAGAGCCCCACCCTGGATTAGCCACAAACCACACCCAAACACCTGTTTTCACAGAGAGGTCCTTTACTAAGTGGGGAAGAAACGTTAAAGTGGCTGCCTTCTCACTCAGGCAGAAAAACAGCAGCAAATGACCTTGCAGGTGCCATTTTTAAGAGGAGGAAAAGGGGAGGTCAGTATAAGAATGGGCTAGGATACAGTGCTAAAGGAGATAGGGTACAGGGGAGAAGGGGAAGGGACAAGGGACATTTGTCCCAAAGGGTTAGGATTGCCTCTTGGTGGAGAGGAGACAGACGTGGCATATAAGCAGATGGCAGTTTATAAAGTTATGGGGGGAACCCTGTGTTAGGATGGGGTGTTTAATTTTAATTGGACGTTAATTAGGTGAACCAAAGGGGGCTTTTCATTGCTGGATTTAATTCTTTGATAGCTGGACCTTGGTAGTCAGCCTCAGGAGGAGGAAGTAGCCAATTAGGAAATAGACCTTGGTGGCTAGCTTTAGGGATGTAATTATCCTGTTTTTAGCAAGGAGGAGGGAATGGGAGAGTCCCATGAAAAGTGGGCTAGTGTCTCTTCAGGTTCAATGCTGCTAAGAGGTTGTGATTCATATTAGCCCTCAGGTACTGTAAGAAGTGATATGTGATCTGTGGGTATTGCCCTAGGAGCCCTTCAGTGACTGAAATTTACCTGTGTTCTGCTGAGTGTTCCTGCCATGTTTATTTCCTGTTTACAGCACCATAAACAAAATCTCTCCATGTAATTTCTCCAAAACTGACTATAACTTAATGCTTTTGGCGCCTTCCCATCCCTTATCTCTTGAAGTTCCCTTTGAAGATAAAGAATGTCTTTGATCATGTCCTTGCTTAGAAGCCCATTGATGGTTCGTTGTAATTCTAGAATAGGGTTTTAATTTAAAGATAGCTCTCCTACTTAGAATCCCCTTTCTCCCTTCCCCTGGGATCTTTTAGTGTGCTTACCTTGCCCTTGTAGCTCATCTCATTTCTTTAATTATTTTGACTTGAAAAATTTAATAACCTTTAATCATACCAGTTAGAGTTACTTTTTAAATTTTGTTTTCATGTGTGTTGATATTTGCCTGCGTGTCTTGTCTGTGTACCACTTCAGTGTCTGGTCTCCATGGAGGCCTGCAGAGGGAGTGCGATCCCTTGAGACTTGAGTTACAGGTTGGTGTTAGCTTCCATGTAGGTGCTGGGACTTGAACCTGGATGCCCGGAATGAAGACCTAATACTTGTGAATTAGGAGGCATCTCTCAAGCCCTTTTAAGCTCAGAACAGCACTTAAATCCTTTATAAACACCTTTAATCTGTGCACTTGGGAGGCACACACAGGTGGATCTCTGAGTTCAAAGCCAGCCTGGTCCACATAGTGAGTTCCAGGACAGCCAGAACTGCACAGTGAGACCTTTGTCTGGAGAACAAACAAAGCTCAGAACAAACCACACTTTCCATCTTGAAGTCTTAAATCTGTTCTCCCTAGAACATGGTCTTGTCTTTTCTGAAGTGTATTGTTTAACTTTTGCTGTTTGTTTTGGTGTGTGTGTAAGAGAGAGGGAGGAGGGATTTTGCTGTTTTGTTCAGGTTAGCTCACAGCAAGCTTCCTGCCTCAGCCTCCCAAGTTCGGGAACTACAGATGTTTGCCTAGCTTTCACTTAGGGTCTTCACTGGATACCTCCCCCAAAGTGTGTGTGATCTCTGATCACAGCAGCTGATGCAAACTTAGATACCTACCTTCTTACCTCTGTAGATGACTGTGGGGTATGGGTATGCATGTGCATACAAACACACATAAACAAGACACACTTATCCCAAGGGTGACATGTCATTGGTGCAGATACTGCAGTACTGGAATTTTGTGTGCCTACATGACAGAATAAAAGGTAAATAAGTAAGTAGTTTTTTTCTTTGGTTACATGAAGTGTACCTTGTTTTCTTCACAAAGATTAAAAGCTGTGCAAATGGACTTCTACATTAAGTAAAACTTTAGATGCAAGTATGTCCCAATTATTACTGTGGGGGTGGGATCAAACCTATGAGTGCAAAGAATGCACTCTCAGTCCCTGAAAATAAAATGTTTAAATAGGGCAAGTTGCTGAGCATGAAAAATGTTACCAAGTGGGATAAAGAATAGTTTCAGAAGTTAAAGAAGATTTGGAGGGCAGAGATTAAGCTGAACTGAATATACTAAACAGGCAGTTTTGAAACCTTTACTTTTCTTAGTTATAAGGTATGACATCTATTTTATGTAAAGTATAAACAGGAATTCTTAAGACCTGTATAGAAGCAAAGTATTGTTTCCCTAGTGCAATGTGTTCAAGACCTTTTGTTTAATGTGTGAGGACAGTGTAAAGTGCAGTTTCTTTATGCACTGAGAGCTGGTGAGTCTATACTCTTAAGTGGAAAATGTCTATTAGTCCTATTTATAAGTGTGTTCTACATACTACTGTCTAGAATAAATATTCAGTGTTTTACCACCCGTCTGGAATGCTCTCTATTTCAAAAAGAATTACGCCTCCAACACATCGCTGAATTTACCACTTCAAAAAGTACAACTTGACCAAAATAATTTGAAAGGCTCAGTGATACAGGTAAGAATATTTTGTTACTGACATTTTAATCCCTAGAATCCAGATTTACTACAAGAGGTTTTATTTTATTTTGAGGTAAGGTTTTGCTATGCAGCCCTGGAACTCCCTGTGTAGACCATGGTGGCCTGAGTGATTGGTCTTTCTGTCTGCCTCTAAGTGCTGGGATTTATGCCCAGGGTACACCATATATTTAGTAGCTTCTTGCTCTTCATGGTAGGAAACCTGTCATCACACCTTCTGCTAGTGTTCAGTAAATATGTGAAAAGGCTTAGAAACTTTAAAGCTTTATCACTTATATGCACTGCCTCACTTGCAGAATGAAAAGCTACTAGTTGATCTGGAGTCTCTGTTAAGCTATTACTAGAACCGGAATGGGGCAGTTTATTGTATTGTTCTCCATACCATATGGCCAGTGCACATCAGGAACCTCAGACTCTTCCCCACAAAATGATCTTCAAATCCGGTATCACTTTCTTTGATTTATAAATTTGGAATTGCATGATACCTAAAATGATAGGAGTGGTTTTTTTTTTTCTTTAAAAATCTTTTCTGTCACTGGTGGTAGAGGGGTATAATAGGAAGGATAGGAAGGACAAAGTGTCTCACCTTAATCAGGTCATATCAGTTTCCTCGTGTATTAGTGATGAAGTAACCATCTCCCAGGTTGTGAGGGTAAATTAAAATACACACATGTGAAGAACTTAATACCTGGCATGTAAAGCGTTTGAACTTAGCCAGGTGTCTCTCGTAGTAATTAAGAGGAATGGCTCAGTGGTCAAAGCTAGTCGGGTACACTATTCTGGATGCTTTACTGTGTTAAAGTTTTTGGCAGTCCTATGTCATGGTATTATTGGACCCACACCAAGGGAACAGGCAGTGAAAAGAAATGTCTTGCCCAAGTGACAAGTACTCTGCTATATCCTTGTTTTCTGATGACCTTGAACTCCCAATCCGGCCTTCACCGGGGATTACAGGCATGCACCACTACCCCATTTTTGCTAGGCAACCCACTTACCAGTTGAGCTGCACTATATAAATATCCAGCCATTGAAAACAGTTTTTAATTAAAATTTTTTATGTGTATGGCTGTTCCATGCCTGGTGCTTGCAGAGGCCAGAAGACTGTTCAATCCCCTAGAACTGGGTGCTCGGAATCCTGGGGATTGAACCCAGGTATTCTGGAGAAGCAGACAGTGCTCTCTAACCACTATCACAGCTACAGTCCCTTGAGTCTTAACCACCGCCAGAGTGATGGAGGCCCAACCAGCAAACAAATACTGTGGATAGTCAGAATCTTTACCATTAAGGACCTTCAAATTATTTCAAACAACGTATTTTAAATTGCTAATAATAAATGTTTATTCATGATTGAAACCGAGGATTTAGAAATACATTTTAATAGCTTGCTGATAAAATAGTAACATTCCACCTTTGTGATCTGATAATACAGAAGATAACTGCTTTAATATTCTTATCTATTATAACCAGGTAACCAGAACACACACACACACAAACCACCTACTTTAGTGTTACATCACACCAACTTCTCATAAAAGGCCGTCTTGAAGCTCTACTGGGTAGCTGAGAACATAGCGCCCAATGCTAACACTAGGGAAGAGAGGGGATAGTAAGCACACATTTCAGAGCTCACTTTTAAGCACACGACATTATGATATCAAAAACAAGGGATGCAAAAGGGAAAAAAAAGTAATTCGGCATTTTACTAATGAGCATCTGGCATTACTCAACGCATGAGGAGGCTGTGCTTGGGGCCGTCTACTCTCTCCAGCTTCTCAAAGTGTTTCCTGGCGTTACGGATGTTGATCAGAGTAGCTGCAGAAGGGATGGATGGATCTGACATGACCACCATCACATAGGTGTTTGACGTGAAGATGTCGATGAAGGCAGCGAAGTTAGAATTCCTCACCTCCATGCTCTGGAAAGAAGCGGCCAATTTGCTGCAGCTTAGCTTGAACTGCTTGATGATGTTGCTGATCTTCTCGAAGCGGTGCACATCGCGCTGCTCTTTGCACTGGTAGTGGGAAATCACCAGGAACGTGGCCCTCTCGAACAGCAGAACTTCGTCAGCCTCAATGATCTGGGCAAAATTCCTGAGGTTCATCTCCAGCTGCTGAACGTTGGGGATCAGCTGGTAGACGATGCTGGACCAGGCTTTGTAGAGCGTCTCATCCCAGATGGACGTTCGAAAACAGGCGCACTCCAGCGGGCGAGACAAACGCCTCAGGTCTTCCTCTCGCTCTTTAAAAATCAGGTCACGTTGGTCTTCCTGAACCAGATCCATTTTGTGCACTAGGCAGAAGATTTTGGCATCAGGTGAATTCTGGAGGATGGCTTCCAGACACGACTGGTAATAATGCATGTCTTTCTCCAGTTCGCGGCTCTCTACGTCAAACACGTATATCAGAACCTCCACGTTACGGAAGATGTTGTCCCGCTGGCTGGTGAAGTAATTTTCCATAAAGGTGTCCTGGCCGCCACAGTCCCACAGGTTCAGCACCAGGTTCCCCAGGAATCGAACGTGGGAGTGCTCCACGTCGATGGTGGCACCCAGGCGCCTGGTGTCACGCGCAATGTAATTTGCAAAGATGATCGACCTCATGCTGGTCTTCCCCGACCCGCTCTTCCCCATCAGCAGCACCTTCTTCTTCATGGCTGTGTTTGGCATCACCTGCCGGCGTCGCCACGGACTGGGCCTGGGGCGCGGCCTAACGGCGGACCGACCGGGGGCGGGGACGGCGGCTCCGGGGGCTGGGCGACGGGCACCGCCGGGCAGCGGGAGGCCGAGCGCTCGAGCTCGGGGCAGGAGAGACCGCGGCGGGGCGAGGCCTCAGAGAACGGCGCCGGGGGCAACGTCTACAGCCGCTCCGAGCTAGCGACAGCCGACCAGTGATGCGATCAGCTCCAGCCGGGCCGCCACCCACTTCCCGCCGGCATCTCGCGAGAACTCGGCGTTCATGCCACCACCCACTTCCGGCGGTGACAACGCGAGAACGGGGGCTAAATCCTTGGCAGTCGGTGGAATCCTGAGAAACCGCTTCCTAAATGCAGCCTGGTCGCCGTCGGGCGCGGCGAGTTAAAGTAAAAGCGGAAGTCCACACCGGCCGCCGCTTTGCTATGCTTGGGTTGGACTGGGGTTTGCAGAAAGGTTCGAGAGCGCCCCGGAGGGAGAGTGCTGCCCTCGCGTGGCCAGAAGTCCCCACGACCCCTGCCAGCACCTCACCGAGAGATGTGCTTTTTTGTTTTTTTGTTTTTTTCTTTGAGGCAGGCAGGTGGAGGCAAGGCCTAATTTGTCAGCCCACTTAGGGATGACAAATGAAAACCAACATAAAGAGGCTTCGAGAAGCTGAGTAATTGCTCAGGAGACATCCCGACTTCCCGTTAGTCCCCCTTTCCCTTCCAGACGAGTTCCTTTGTCATACTCTCAGACTTGAGGATTTGTGATTAGAATCCAGAACCCGAGGAGAGGGTAACACGGCACACTGATGCGTTAGCTACATCCTCACGCTAGCCGCGTGGACAACCATTTTCAAGGGAGGAAATCAAACCTTCGGGGGCTGAAGAGTCTGAGCGACTTAACAGGGTTTGCTCGCTTAGCCGCACACACTGCCTCCCCCAAGCGCAGAACATTCAGGATAATCAGGGCACTTCGGATCCCCAAGTCAGGACACTACACACGTACTGTAAAGCCCTTTCCAGATTGTATACTACACTGTACAGTAAAGACATTGCCTCATCCATTCGTTCAAAAATTGAATGTTGGGCCTGGAGACATGGCTCAGCAGTTAAGTGCTTTTCAGATATGATTCCCTCTTTTGGCTTCTGTGGCCTGCATAAACTCATACAGGCATGGGTGTACACACACACACACACACACACACACACCCTCTTGCAGAGAATCTGGGTTCGATTCCCAGCACCCACCATGGCTCCTTGAAAGTGTAACTCCAGGCCCAACCTCTATGGACACTGCATGCTTGTGGTGCACAGACATATATGTAGGCAAAACACCCATTCTCATAAATGACATTTAACGTATGCAAGAAAATCCCGAAGTGGTCATTGTTGCCTTTTATACATTATCGTGTGCGTGTGTGTTGAAATAGATGTCTTATTTAGGGTTGGCCATTCAGGAGTCACTTACTCTCAGTACTTGGCTCACTCCGAGAGAACCATCTCTAGTTGAGGCTGAGGGCAGCACTAATCTATCTGAACACAACGAATATTTAGAAGAGAGTTTGACATGCCAATTTAGTAAGATAACAGTAGTAGGTTCCTTAAGTTTACAGTACCAGGCATGAATTCTGTCCTTTGGGGCAGGTGTCAACTCCAATCCAAAAGCAGTTTGTTGCCGGGCGGTGGTGGCACAGGCCTTTAATCCCAGCACTCGGGAGGCAGAGGCAGGCAGATCTCTGTGAGTTCGAGACCAGGCTGGACTGACAGCCTCCAGAACAATACAGAGAAATCCTGTCTCGTAATACAAAACAAAACAACAACAACAACAAAAAAAACAAAAGCAGTTTGTTACCCCTGATAGTCTCTGTGCTGTTCTTGTATATCTTGTCTGGCAAGATAGTATTGTAGCATGCAGGGTTCATCACTAGGTAATAACACTGATGAGTTTTCTTGCCCTGAAGCCTGCTTAGCACCATGCATATATATATGGGCTTTCCTTACATCCTCAGTTTTGGTTAACAAACTCCCTACCCCTTCCTCACCCTGTACCCCATTACTGCTTAACCTCAAATATTTCCCTTCTCTATTTTCTGCTGTATGTGTTCTATTAATCCCTCACCCATTAAGAACCCTCACCCCTAAAGGGTCCCTTTTTAGCTTCCTGAGGTTGACAGGTACTCCAAAGTAAAC